AAAAAGACATGAATGGACAAATATACCCCTTAAAATTGGTCATGTGCTGGGCACATGATCAATTTCCGTCCAAAACATTAACGGAAGCCTACGGAGGGTTGACATTGGAACAAATTAAATTTGAAACTAGAATTTACCCAAAAGCAATAAAATGGTTATTTACATGCTTAACAGTGATCTATATGGAACATAAAGCATAAAACAATAGGACACCAATCCCCACGTGGACCATCGCGCGCAACAAGTGACTGTCGCGCGAGTGTATGGGTCCATCGCGCATTGGTTCTTACTATGACGGTTTTTGAAACCAGGACTAATGCACCGGATCCCATTGCTAGCTTTAGGCCGATCGATATTGATTACCACTTTGCCTCGCCAAATTTCTCAGGGATCGAACAAAAAATAGTAGGTGATGAACAAAGGGGGGGGTACTTATAGGAGGAGAGGAGGAGGTAGATCTGGAAAGAGACGTGCTGGCTAAGGGTTACTTCGTGGCCCAGCTGATAAAGGTGATGGGGACAATTTTTGACCATCGCGCGATGGAGTGGGTCTGTCGCGCGATGGTGCCCCCTGGTGCGCGATGGTTGACCATCGCGCGATGGAGTCAGACCTTCGTGCGACGGTGCGCCTTGGCGCGCAACGATTGTGCCCTGGCGCGCAATGGTCGCGCCCTGGCTCAGGTCAGAAGGGTTTTTGGGTTTTTGAAGTGGATTAGGTTTATGTTAGGTTCAAGGGTTTTTCAAACACTCAAAGCTCAACACTTGACATTCCTAGGGTGTTCTTGATCCGTTTCATCATCGGGGAATCAAAAACTACAAGTAAACTAATTTGGAAGCACAGATTGGGGTGTCTACACATGTCAAAACTGTGACTTGGACTTGATTTTCCAGGAACTGTACGTAGGCCCTGATACGTAGACCATTTTTTTTACAAAATTTCACCAGCACCATCGCAGGGGAGAAGAGTGTTTGAGGTTCCAATCATTTTTAGATTATGAATTATGAATTTAGATTATGTTCAGAATATGAGAAAGCATTGGGATGATATGTATCCAAATTGGCATAAAACCCTTCTCTGTTTGAACAAAAGCAAACAAAAGCAAGGGAGGGCATAGTGACAGAGATGGAGCCCTGGGAATTGGGGGAGGGGGATGAAGATGGGTGAAATCGTCAAATTTTCAGGTGAATTATGCTAGATTGTTTATGGATCGGTCAGAAGTGCCCCGTCGCCCCTCTTCGCCAGGATAACAAGAAAGGAGAGATGAGTTCATCCCCTTGCACAAAACCCTTCCCAAACCAAGGATAAGTGGGCTTCATTATATATCAGGTGAGTGTGCTACACTCCAGTACCGGTGAACCTACTTCAACTTGACATGGCTGTGACCCCTTTTGTCTCTGGGAACATTCGATCAATTGGTTGGCGATTCTTAGTTTCTCGCAAAACATTCTTTTCCGTAATGGAATTGATAGGGCCTACCCTTAACTCCTATAGAGAGCCTTAAAAAATCTATGATTTGAGATTTTGTACTTACTAAGGTACAGTTGTGGGCCCGCACCCTTTTTCCAAGAGTCGCCACCCGAATTTTTGAGTTGATGGAACTGGATGATCCAAAACCAAGAACTCCAAAGACTAATGCACCCTAGCAAAACGCTTTAGATTTTGGGTTCGGGAGCCACATTACGAATGAGGAAGGTTTTTCTTTAAAAGCACTCCACTCGCCCAGTAACCGGTCTCTACTTATTGTTTTCAAAAGGGAAAATCTTCAATACACACTCTCATGGGAAATATATCACATTAGTGTGTACGTGGTGCTGTGTGTAGGTGGTCCTGTTGATGGAACAAATGAATTGAAGGGGAGAAGCATTTCGGGGATCATACCAAAGACTAATGCACCGGATCCCCCAGCAAGCTGTCTGGATCTCAATCATACTGTGCACGGCACCTCGTGGTGCCGTGCGGGATATCTACTCTACTGTCAGACTGTTATAAATGCTCGAAACATCATCTGGCTCATTGTTTTCACGGTATATCTTTTAAAAGACGCATCAGAGGCCATGTAATGATCAGATCATTTCAAAAACGTCATTGTTTTCTCAAAACATTGCCCCAAAATAGCTTTTAAGTTTTAACGCATTTGATCATTCGGGATGATCTAGAAAATCCTTTTTAAGAGCCAAGACATGGCTTGTAGATATGGTCTTGTTTTGAAAGAGACAAGAACAGTGAACAGCAAATACAGACAGCCACAACAGAGAATAACTCAGATCCAAACAGCCTGCCTACAATAATATCAACACTTAACATGTCGTGCGTCGAAGATCAAGGTGCCGCGCGCCTTGTCAGGCAACCGCGCGGTACCTCGACATCAGCACAGTGCTGGCTTTATTTTATGAAAATGCACCGATCCCATCGTAAGTTTTAAGTCGAATCTAACCAAAAGTGGATTAGATCTCCGACGAAAAAGTCTCCTCAGAACTTAACTCCAGTCTAGCCCAAAGAAACTTATTTTTACATTTGGTGTTGAGCATAGCGACGGATGCGGATGGAGAGGTTGGATGAGACAAATGATGAAGTATGGGTGTGAGGGAAAGTTTGGTATTTTGGGGTGAGACCTTGAAATTAATGAGAGATCAACTTCAATGATGAGAAGGGAGTGAGTGTTGATGGAACAAATGAATTGAAGGTGGGAAGGATGCTCAAAAGCCAAGAGAAGAGCCCCTTTCCTTGAGTGGAGGGGTTAATTTATAGACAAATGCAGGATTTTGAATTTCAAATAGTTGAGGTATTTTATGGTGATTTGAGAAGTGCACATCTACTTGAATGTGGTACTCAGCTTTTGTGACTTCGAGCGGTCGAGAACTTTTCCCAGTGCCGTGCGTCGGTACAAGTCAAGGTCGCGCCTGGCCGCCAATTCTCACATCGTGCGCTCCAGTGCCATTCCGCGCGGTACCTCATGTTTTAGGCCAGGGGCTTTTGGGCCTTATCTGGGCTCTTTGGTTTTTGGGCTTTTTGGTTTGTTTGGTTTACATGGGTTTAGGGAAATCCTTTTTCAAGCTCATAAAGGTACCGTTTCCTTTATTTCATCATCGGGGCAGACAAAAACTCTCTGAGGTCCGGATTGCGGTGTCAACAATAGTGAACACCCTCTAAGCCTAACTATTCCTCACTGACCGATAACGTACAAGTACCGTGAGGGAAAAGTGAAAAGAACACCACCATTCTTCAGTGATGAGCTTTAGCGAACAAATCTGTGTGGCCCGTCATCCTCGATCTGAGTTCCTCCTCTGGTGGTTCAAGGGTGGCCTAACCTTCTCTTGAACGGGCACGCCCGGCCCTAGAGGGCCCTCCAACGCGATGCGGGGTCCGGTCGGCGAGGCGCGACCAAGAAAGCTCGTCGCTGAGAAAGAAAATGCATGGCGGTGGTCCTATTGATGGAACAAATGATTTGAAAGAGGGAATTCGGGTGCGATCATACCAGCACTAATGCACCGGATCCCATCGAAACTCCATGATTAAGCGTGCTTGGGCAGAGTAGTACTAGGATGGGTGACCCCTGAGAAGTCCTCGTGTTGCACCTTTTACTGGTTTTGGGCGAAATCTTTTCCCCGGCTCCGTCCGGCTTCTCTTTGCTCGCCGCCAGTTCCGCTCGTCTCGTCGAGGGCTTCCGGTTTGCGACTTTTTGGGCTCGCGGAAAAAATTATCTCTTGAACGGGCACGCTCGGCCCTATAGAGCCCTCCAACGCGATGCGGGGTCCGGTCGGCGAGGCGTGACCAGAAAAGCTCGTTGCTGAGTAAGCAACGCGTGGCGGTGGTCCTATTGATGGAACAAATGAATTGAAAGTCGACAAAATTTCGGGTGCGATCATACCAGCACTAATGCACCGGATCCCATCAGAACTCCGCAGTTAAGCGTGCTTGGGCGAGAGTAGTACTAGGATGGGTGACCCCCTGGGAAGTCCTCGTGTTGCACCCCTTTTTGGTTTTTGGACGAAATCTTATTCCCCACTCCCTTCCCTAATTAAAAAGATTAGAATAAAGGTTTTTAGACGAAATCTTTTTCCCCACTACCTTCCCTAAATAAAAAGATTAGAATTTAGAAAAGACACGCCCGGCCCTAGACAGCCCTCCAACGCGATGCGGGGTCCGGTCGGCGAGGCGTGACTAAGGAAGCTCGGTGCTGAGAAAGCAACGCATGGCGGTGGTCCTACTGATGGAACAAATGAATTGAAAGAGGGAAGCATTTCGGGTGCGATCATACCAGCACTAATGCACCGGATCCCATCAGAACTCCGCAGTTAAGCGTGCTTGGGCGAGAGTAGTACTAGGATGGGTGACCCCCTGGGAAGTCCTCGTGTTGCACCCCTTTTTGGTTTTTGGACGAAATCTTTTTCCCCGCTCCCTTCCCCCTTCTCTTTGCTCGCTAGTTCATTCTGCTCTCGTCGAGGAGCTTAGGTTTGCACGACTTTTGGGCTCGGAGAAAAAACTATCTCTGAGCAGACGCGCTCCCCTCCAACGCGATGCGGGGTCCGGTCGGCGAGGCGTGACCAGAAAAGCTCGTTGCTGAGAAAGCAATGCGTGGCGGTGGTCCTATTGATGGAACAAATGAATTGAAAGACGACAAAATTTTGGGTGCGATCATACCAGTACTAATGCACCGGATCCCATCAGAACTCCGCAGTTAAGCGTGCTTGGGCGAGAGTAGTACTAGGATGGGTGACCCCCTGGGAAGTCCTCGTGTTGCACCCCTTTTTGGTTTTTGGACGAAATCTTATTCCCCACTACCTTCCCTAAATAAAAAGATTAGAATAAAGGTTTTTAGACGAAATCTTTTTCCCCAGTACCTTCCCTAAATAAAAAGATTAGAATTTAGAAAAGGTAACCCAAACGAGGTCCGTTCGGCTCGGCCAGGCGTGACTAAGAAATCTCGTCGTTGAGAAAGAAAATGCATGGCGGTGGTCTATTGATGGAACAAATGAATTGAAGGGGGGAAGCATTTTGGGTGCGATCATACCGGCATAATGCCGGATCCCAGTGAGAACTGCAGTTAAGCGTGCTTGGGCGAGAGTAGTACTAGGATAGGTGACCCCCTGGGAAGTCCACGTGTTGCACCCTCCCATTTTTCTCACATTACCCCCAGCTCCCTCCCTTCTCTTTCACATTTTATTTTTTTGCTGGTCGAGGGCTTCCGGTTTGCGACTTTTGGGCTCGGAGAAAAAACTATCTCTGAGCAGACACGCTCGGCCTAGAGAGCCCTCAACGATCACGGGAGTCGGTCGGCGTGACTAAAGCTCGTCGGCCGAGAAAGAAAATGCATGGCGGTGGTCCTATTGATGGATGATGGAACAAATGAATTGAAGGGGGAAGCATTTCGGGTGCGTACACAAGACTAATGCACCGGATCCCATCAAAACTCCGCAGTTGCGTGCTTGGGCGCGAGTAGTACTAGGATGGGTGACTGAAGTCCTCGTGTTGCACCCTTTTTTTTCGGACGAAATCTTTTCCCCACTCCTCCCCTTCTCTTCCTCGCCGCGCCTCCGCTGCCTCGCCGAGGCTTCCGCCATGACTTTTGGGCTCTGAGAAAAACTATCTCTCGAACGGGCACGCCCGGCCCTAGCCAGCCGCGATGCGGGGTCCAGTCGGCGAGGCGTGACTAAGAAAGCTCGTCCGAGAAAGAAAATGCATGGCGGTGGTCCTATTACCAAAGAGGGAAGCATTTCCATTATTATACCAAAGACTAATGCACCGGATCCCATCGGAACTCCGCAGTTAAGCGTGTTTGGGCGAGAGTAGTACTAGGATGGGTGACTCGAAGTCCTCGTGTTGCACCCTTTGGTTTTGACAAATCTTTTCCCCACTCCTCCTCTTCTCTTCTCGCCGCCGCGCTGCCTCGCCGAGGGCTTCCGGCTTATGACTTTTTGGGCTCGAGAAAAACTATCTCTCGAACGGCACGCCGCCCTCGAGAGCCTCCAACGCGACTGGTCGTCGGCGAGGCGTGACTAAGAAAGCTCGTCGCTGAGAAAGAAAATGCATGGCGGTGGTCCTATTGATGGAACAAATGAATTGAAGGGGGAAGCATTTCGGGTGCGATATACCAAGACTAATGCACCGGATCCCATCAAAACTCCGCGTTAAGCGTGCTTGGGCGAGAGTAGTACTAGGATGGTTGACCCTGCGAAGTCCTCGTGTTGCACCCTTGGTTTTCGGACGAAATCTTTTCCCCACTCCTCCCTTCTCTTTCCTCGCCGCCCGCTGCCTCGCCGAGGGCTTCCGGCTTATGACTTTTGGGCTCTGAGAAAACTATCTCCGAACGGGCACGCCGCCCTCGAGAGCCTCCAACGCGATGCGGGTCAGTCGGCGAGGCGTGACTCAAGAAAGCTCTGCCGAGAAAGAAAATGCATGGTGGTGGTCCTATTGATGGAACAAATGAATTGGGGAAGCATTTCGGTGCGATCATACCAAAGACTAATGCACCGGATCCCATCGGAACTCCGCAGTTAAGCGTGCTTTGGGGTAGTACTAGGATGGGTGACCCCCCGGGAAGTCCTCGTGTTGCACCCTTTTTTTCGGACGAAATCTTTTCCCCACTCCTCCCCTTCTCTTTCCTCGCCGCCGCCCGCTGCCTCGCCGAGGGCTTCCCTTATGATTTTTGGGCTCTGAGAAAACTATCTCCGAACGGCACGCCGCCTCGAGTCTCTCCAACGCGATGCGGGTCGTCGGCGAGGCGTGACTAAGAAAGCTCGTCGCCGAAAGAAAATGCATGGCGGTGGTCCTATTGATGGACTAACAAATGAATTGAAGGGGGAAGCATTTCGGGTGCGATCTACCAAAGACTAATGCACCGGATCCCATCGGAACTCCGCAGTTAAGCGTGCTTGGGCGAGAGTAGTACTAGGATGGTTGACCCGGGAAGTCCTCGTGTTGCACCCTTTTTGGTTTTGACGAAATCTTTTCCCCACTCCTCCCCTTCTCTTTCCTCGCCGCCCGCTGCCTCGCCGAGGGCTTCCGGTTATGACTTTTGGGCTCTGAGAAAACTATCTCTCGAACGGCACGCCGCCCTCGAGCCTCCAACGCGACGCGGGTCGTCGGCGAGGCGTGACAAGAAAGCTCGTGAGAAAGAAAATGCATGGCGGTGGTCCTATTGATGGAACAAATGAATTGAAGGAGGGAAGCATTTCGGGTGCGATCATACCAGCACTAATGCACCGGATCCCATCAGAACTCCGCAGTTAAGCGTGCTTGGGCGAGAGTAGTACTAGGATGGGTGACCCCCTGGGAAGTCCTCGTGTTGCACCCCTTTTTGGTTTTTGGACGAAATCTTTTTCCCCGCTCCCTTCCCCCTTCTCTTTGCTCGCCGCCAGTTCTGCTCGTCTCGTCGAGGGCTTCCGGTTTGCGACTCGGAGAAAACTATCTCTAACGGCACGCCGGCCTCGAGAGCCTCCAACGCGATGCGGGTCGTCGGCGAGGCGTGACTAAGAAAGCTCGTCGCTGAGAAAGAAAATGCATGGCGGTGGTCCTATTGATGGAACAAATGAATTGAAGGAGGGAAGCATTTCGGGTGCGATCATACCAGCACTAATGCACCGGATCCCATCAGAACTCCGCAGTTAAGCGTGCTTGGGCGAGAGTAGTACTAGGATGGGTGACCCCCTGGGAAGTCCTCGGATGGGTGACCTGGAAGTCCTCGTGTTGCACCGCTTTTGTCGAAGGCTTCCGGTTTGCGACTTTGAGCCTCTGAGAAAACTATCTCCTCAACTGGCACGCCGCCTCGAGCCTCCAACGCGACAAGTGGTCAGTCAAGAGCGTGATTCAAGCAGAAGCTCGGTCGGGCTGAAAGAAAATGTAACATGGCAATCTATTTCACGGAACAAATGAATCGGCGGGGAAGATTGCGTTGATCATATCAAAGACTAATGCACCGATCCCATCGTAACTCCAGCTTGCTACTGGGCGAGACTCAGATGGTGACTGAAGTCCTCGTGTTGCACCCTTTTTTGGCTTTCGTAGAGGGGCGCCGCTCCTCCTCTTCTCTTTCCTCGCGCTCTCCGGCTGTCTTCGCCGAGGGCTTCCGGGTTTGCGACGGCCTGAGAAAACTATCTCCTCGAACGGGCACGCTTCGCCTCGAGTCTCCAACGCTGATGGGTCGTCGGCGAAAGGTGACTAAGAAAGCCTGCCGTTAAAATGCATGGCGTTGTCCTATTGACGGAACAAACGACCAAGTGGGGAAGCATTCAGGCGATCACACCAAAGACTAATGCACCGATCCCATCGGGAATCTGCTAGCTGTCGTTTAAGCAGAGTAGTACTAGGATGGCGACCCTCGGAAGCTCCTCGTTGCACCCTTTGGTTTTGACAAATCTTTTCCCACCCTCCTTCTTCTCTTTCATCGGCCGGGCCGCTCATTGCCTCGGCCGAGGGCTTTGCTTATGCACTTCTTGGGCTCGAGAAAAATCCATCTCCTAACGGCACGCCGCCTCGAGCCTCCAACGCTGATGCGGGTCGTCGGGCGAGGCGTGACTAAGAAAGCTCGTCGCTGAGAAAGAATGATGGAACAAATGAATTGAAGGGGGAAGCATTTCGGGTGCGATACCAAAGACTAATGCACCGGATCCCATCGGAACTCCGCAGTTAAGCGTGCTTGGGCGAGAGTAGTACCGGCACCCTTTGGTTTTGACGAAATCTTTTCCCACTCCTCCCCTTCTCTTTCCTCGCCGCCCGCTGCCTCGCCGAGGCTTCCGGCTTATGCGACTTTTGGGCTCCTGAGAAAAACTATCTCCTCGAACGGCACGCTGCCCTCGAGAGCCTCCAACGCGAGGGGTCAGTCGAGGCGTGACTAAGAAAGCTCGTCGATGAGAAAGAAAATGCATGGCGGTGGTCCTATTGATGGGACAAATGAATTGAAAGACGACAACATTTCGGGTGCGATCATACCAAAGACTAATGTTGCACCCGATCCCATCGTAACTCCGCAGCTAAGTGTGCTTGGGCGAGAGTAGTACTAGTATGGGTCACCCCTTTTTGGTTTTCTGACGAAATCTTTTCCCCACTCCTCCTCTTCTTTCTGTACCGCAAATTCGCCGAGGGCTTCCGGTTTGCGACTTTTTGGGCTCTGAGAAAACTATCTCCGAACGGGCACGCCGCCCTCGAGCCCTCCAACGCGATGCGGGGTCAGGTCGGAGAGGCGTGACTAAGAAAGCTCGTCGGAAAGAAAATGCATGGCGGTGGTCCTATTGATGAAGGACTAATGCACCGGATCCCATGAATTGAAGGGGAAGCATTTCGGTGCGATCATACCAAAGACTAATGCGTCCCATCGTAACTCCGCAGCTTGCGTGCTTGGGCGAGTAATACTAGGATGGGTGACCTCCTGGGAAGTCTATAGAGCTGCACCCCTTTTGGTTTTCGGACGAAATCTTTTCCCCACTCCTCCCTTCTTCTTTCCTCTTCCACAGGTCATGTCTACCCCTTTGCGACTTTTTGGGCTCGGAGAAAAAACTATCTCTTGAACGGGCACGCCCGGCCCTATAGAGCCCTCCAACGCGACGCGGGTCGGCGAGGCGTGATTCAAGAAAGCTCGTCGAGAAAGAAAATGCATGGCGGTGGTCCTACTGATGGAACAAATGAATTGAAAGAGGGAAGCATTTCGGTGCGATCATACCAAAGACTAATGCACCGGATCCCATCGGAACTCCGCAGTTAAGAGTGCTTGGGCGAGAGTAGTACTAGGATGGTTGCTCGGAAGTCCTCGTGTTGCACCCCTTTTGGTTTTGACGAAATCTTTTTCCCCACTCCTCCTCTTCTTCTTTCCTCGCGCCCGCTGCCTCGCCGAGGGCTTCCGGCTTATGACTTTGGGCTCTGAGAAAAACTATCTCCTCGAACGGCACGCCGCCCTCGAGAGCCTCCAACGCGATGCGGGTCAGTCGAGGCGTGACTAAGAAAGCTCGTCGATGAGAAAGAAAATGCATGGCTGTGGTCCTATTGAAAGCTCGTCGCTGAGAAAGAAAATGCATGGCGGTGGTCCTATTGATGGAGCAAATGATACCAAAGACTAATGCACCGGATCCCATCGGAACTCCGCAGCGTGCTTTGGCGAGAGTAGTACTAGGATGGTTGCCTGGAAGTCCTCGTGTTGCACCCTTTTTGGTTTTTCGACGAAATCTTTTTCCCCACTCCTCCCCTTCTCTTTCCTCGCCGCCCGCTGCCTCGCCGAGGGCTTCCGGCTTATGATTTTGGGCTCGAGAAAAACTATCTCCGAACGGCACGCCGCCCTCGAGAGCCTCCAACGCGATGCGGGTCAGTCGGCGAGGCGTGACAAGAAAGCTCGTCCGAGAAAGAAAATGCATGGCGGTGGTCCTATAGATGGAACAAATGAATTGAAGGGGGGAAGCATTTCGGTGCGATCATACCAAAGACTAATGCACCGGATCCCATCGGAACTCCGAGTTAAGCGCGCTTGGGCGAGAGTAGTACTAGGATGGTTGGCGAAGTCCTCGTGTTGCACCCCTTTTGGTTTTCGACGAAATCTTTTTCCCCACTCCTCCCTTCTCTTTCCTCGCCGCGCCCGCTGCCTCGCCGAGGGCTTCCTGCGACTTTTTGGGCTCGGAGAAAAAGCTATCTCTTGAACGGGCACGCCCGGCCCTAGAGGGCCCTCCAACGCGATGCGGGGTCGGCGAGGCGTGACTCAAGAAAGCTCGTGCCGAGAAAGAAAATGCATGGCGGTGGTCCTATATGGAAAAATGAATTGAAGGGGAAGCATTTCGGTGCGATCATATGCACCGGATCCCATCGTAGTAACTCCGCAGCTGCGTGCGCGCAGAGTAGTACTAGAGGATGGGTGACCGGGAAGTCCTCGTGTAAGTCCTCGTGTTGCACCTCTTTGGTTTTGACGAAATCTTTTCCCACTCCTCCCCTTTCTCTTTCCTCGCCGCCCGCTGCCTCGCCGAGGCTTCCGGCCATGACTTTGGGCTCCTGAGAAAAACTATCTCCTCGAACGGCACGCTGCCCTCGAGCCCTCCAACGCGATGCGGGGTCAGTCGGCGAGGCGTGACAAGAAAGCTCGTCCGAGAAAGAAATGCATGGCGTGGTCCTATTGTTCCCAATGAATTGGGGGGGGAAGCATTTCGGTGCGATCATACCAAAGACTAATGCACCGGATCCCATCGGAACTCCGCAACCGTGCTTGGCGAGAGTAGTACTAGGATGGGTGACCCCCTGCGAAGTCCTCGTGTTGCACCCTTTTTGGTTTTCTGACGTAAATCTTTTCCCCACTCCTCCTTCTCTTTCCTCGCCGCCGCCCGCTGCCTCGCCGAGGGCTTCCGCTTATGACTTTTGGGCTCCTGAGAAAAACTATCTCCGAACGGCACGCCGCCCTCGAGCCCTCCAACGCGAGCGGGTCAGTCGGCGAGGCGTGACTCAAGAAAGCTCGTCGCCGAAAGAAAATGCATGGCGGTGGTCCTATTGATGGAACAAATGAATTGGCTGGGGAAGCATTTCGGTGCGATCATACCAAAGACTAATGCACCGGATCCCATCAGAACTCCGCAGTTAAGCGTGCTTGGGCGAGAGTAGTACTAGGATGGGTGACCCCCTGGGAAGTCCTCGTGTTGCACCCCTTTTTGGTTTCGGACGAAATCTTTTCCCCACTCCCCTCCCCCTTCTCTTTCCTCGCCGCCAGTTCCGCTCGCCTCGTCGATGGCTTACGGTTTGCGACTTTTTTGGCTCGGAGAAAACACTATCTCTTGAACGGGCCCGCCCGGAGTCCTCCAACGCGATGCGGGGTCCAGTCGGCGAGGCGTGACTAAGAAAGCTCGTCGATGAAAGAAATGCATGGCGGTGGTCCTATTGTTGATGGAACAAATGAATTGAAGGGGGAAGCATTTCGGGTGCGATCTACCAAAGACTAATGCACCGGATCCCATCGGAACTCCGCAGTTAAGCGTGCTTGGGCGAGAGTAGTACTAGGATGGTTGCCTGGAAGTCCTCGTGTTGCACCCTTTTGGTTTTTGGACGAAATCTTTTTCCCCGCTCCCTTCCCCCTTCTCTTTGCTCGCCGCCAATTCTGCTCGTCTCGTCGAGGGCTTCCGGTTTGCGACTTTTTGGGCTCGGAGAAAAAACTATCTCTTGAACGGGCACGCCCGGCCCTAGACAGCCCTCCAACGCGATGCGGGGTCCGGTCGGCGAGGCGTGACTAAGGAAGCTCGGTGCTGAGAAAGCAACGCATGGCGGTGGTCCTACTGATGGAACAAATGAATTGAAAGAGGGAAGCATTTCAGGGGAAGCATTTCGGTGCGATCATACCAAAGACTAATGCACCGGATCCCATCGGAACTCCGCAGTTAAGCGTGCTTGTGCGAGAGTAGTACTAGGATGGGTGACCCTTGGTTTTCGGACGAAATCTTTTCCCCACTCCTCCCCTTCTCTTTCCTCGCCGCGCTCCGCTGCCTCGCCGAGGCTTGGTTTGCGACTTTTGGGCTCCTGAGAAAAACTATCTCCTCGAACGGCACGCTGCCCTCGAGAGCCCTCCAACGCGACGCGGGGCAGTCGGCGAGGCGTGACTAAGAAAGCTCGTCCGAGAAAGAAAATGCATGGCGGTGGTCCTATGGATGGGGGAACAAATGAATTGAAGGGGGAAGCATTTCGGGTGCGATCTACCAAAGACTAATGCACCGGATCCCATCGGAACTCCGCAGTTAAGCGTGTTTGGTAGTACTAGGATGGGTGACCCCCTGTGAAGTCCTCGTGTTGCACCCTTTTGGTTTTCTGACGAAATCTTTTTCCCACTCCTCCCCTTCTCTTTCCTCGCCGCCCGTTCCGCTCGTCTCGTCGAGGGCTTCCGGTTTGTGGGCTCGGAGAAAACTATCTCTCGAACGGCACGCCGCCCTCGAGAGCCCTCCAACGCGATGCGGGTCAGTCGGCGAGGCGTGACTAAGAAAGCTCGCCGAGAAAGAAAATGCATGGCGGTGGTCCTATTGTTGAACAAATGAATTGAAGGGGGAAGCATTTCGGGTGCGATCATACAAAGACTAATGCACCGGATCCCATCGGAACTCCGCAGTTAAGCGTGCTTGGGCGCGAGTAGTACTAGGATGGGTGACCCCCTCGGAAGTCCTCGTGTTGCACCCTTTTTGTTTTTGACGAAATCTTTTTCCCCACTCCTCCTTCTCTTTCTCGCCGCGCCCGCTGCCTCGCCGAGGGCTTCCGGTTATGATTTTTGGGCTCGAGAAAAACTATCTCCGAACGGCACGCCGCCTCGAGAGCCTCCAACGCGATGCGGGGTCAGTTCGGCGAGGCGTGACAAGAAAGCTCGTCCGAGAAAGAAAATGCATGGCGGTGGTCCTATTGATGGAACAAATGAATTAAGGGGAAGCATTTCGGTGCGATCATACCAAAGACTAATGCACCGGATCCCATCGGAACTGTTAAGCGTGCGTGGGCGAGAGTAGTACTAGGATGGGTGACCTGAAGTCCTCGTGTTGCACCCTTTTTGGTTTTGACGAAATCTTTTTCCCCACTCCCCTCCCCCTTCTCTTTCCTCGCCGCCCGTGTCTCGTCGAGGGCTTCCGGTTTGCGACTTTTTGGGCTCTGAGAAAAAACTATCTCCTGAACGGCCCTATCGAGCCCTCCAACGCGATGCGGGTCAGATCGGCGAGGCGTGACTAAGAAAGCTCGTCGCTGAGAAAGAAAATGCATGGCGGTGGTCCTATTGATGGAACAAATGAATTGAAAGACGACAAAATTTCGGGTGCGATCATACCAGCACTAAAGCACCGGATCCCATCTGAACTCCGCAGTTAAGCGTGCTTGGGCGAGAGTAGTACTAGGATGGGTGACCCCCTTTTTCGGACGAAATCTTTTTCCCCACTCCCCTCCCCCTTCTCTTTCCTCGCCGCCAGTTCCGCTCGTCTCGTCGAGGGCTTCCGGTTTGCGGCTCTGAGAAAACTATCTCCGAACGGCACGCCGCCCTCGAGCCCTCCAACGCGATGCGGGTCAGATCGGCGAGGCGTGACTAAGAAAGCTCGTCGCTGAGAAAGAAAATGCATGGCGGTGGTCCTATTGATGGAACAAATGAATTGAAGGGGGAAGCATTTCGTGCGATCATACCAAAGACTAATGCACCGGATCCCATCAGAACTCCGCAGTTAAGCGCGCTTGGGCCGGAGTAGTACTGGGATGGGTGACCTCCCGGGAAGTCCCGGTGTTGCACCCTTTTGGTTTTCTGACGAAATCTTTTCCCACTCCTCCTCTCTTTCCTCGCCGCGCCCGCTGCCTCGCCGAGGCTTCCGGCTCATGACTTTGGGCTCTGAGAAAACTATCTCCGAACGGCACGCTGCCTCTCGAGCCTCCAACGCGATGCGGGTCAGTCGGCGAGGCGTGACAAGAAAGCTCGGCCGAGAAAGAAAATGCATGGCGGTGGTCCTATTGAAGGAAGGACTAATGCACCGGATCCCATAAGAACTCCGCAGTTAAGCGTGCTTGGGCGAGCGTAATTGATGGAGGATCCCATCGTAACTCCAGCTAAGCTGCTTTGGGCGAGAGTAGTACTAGGATGGTTGACTGGAAGTCCTCGTGTTGCACCCTTTTGGTTTTCTGACGAAATCTTTTTCCCCACTTGGAGGGGCGCCGCTCCTCCTCTTCTCTTTCCTCGCCGCCCGCTGCCTCGCCGAGGGCTTCCGGCTTATGACTTTTTGAGCTCGAGAAAAACTATCTCCGAACGGCACGCTGCCCTCGAGAGCCTCCAACGCGACGCGCGGGTCAGTCGGCGAGGCGTGACTAAGAAAGCTCGTGCCGAGAAAGAAAATGCATGGCGGTGGTCCTATTGGTGGATGCGAAGTCCTCGTGTTGCACCCTACAAATGAATTGAAGGGGGGAAGCATTTCGGGTGCGATCATACCAGCTCCACCGCAGTTAAGCGTGCTTGGGCGAGAGTAGTACTAGGATGGGTGACCTCGGAAGTCCTCGTGTTGCACCCCTTTTGGTTTTCGACGAAATCTTTTCCCCACTCCTCCTCTTCTCTTTCCTCGCCGCGCCCGCTGCCTCGCCGAGGGCTTCCGGTTTGCGACTTTTGGGCTCGGAGAAAAAACTATCTCCTGAGGGCACGCTCGGCCCTCGAGAGCCCTCCAACGCGAGGCGGGGTCAGGTCGGCGAGGCTGACTAAGAAAGCTCGTCGCTGAGAAAGAAAATGCATGGCGGTGGTCCTATAGAACAAATGAATTGAAGGGGGAAGCATTTCGGGTGCATACCAAAGACTAATGCACCGGATCCCATCGGAACTCCGCAGTTAAGCGTGCTTGGGCGAGAGTAGTACTAGGAAGGACTAATGCACCGGATCCCATCGGAACTCCGCAGTTATGTTGCACCCCTTTTTGGTTTTTTGACGAAATCTTTTTCCCACTCCTCCTTCTCTTTCTCGCCGCCGCCCGCTGCCTCGCCGAGGGCTTCCGGCTTATGCACTTTTGGGCTCTGAGAAAAACTATCTCCTCGAACGGCACGCCGCCCTCGAGCCTCCAACGCGACGCGGGTCGTCGGCGAGGCGTGACTAAGAAAGCTCGTCCGAGAAAGAAAATGCATGGCGGTGGTCCTATTGAAGGAACAAATGAATTGCGGTGCGATCATACCAAAGACTAATGCACCGGATCCCATCGGAACTCCGCAGTTAAGCGTGTTTGGGCGAGAGTAGTACTAGGATGGGTGACCCCCTGCGAAGTCCTCGTGTTGCACCCTTTTGGTTTTCTGACGAAATCTTTTCCCCACTCCTCCCCTTCTCTTTCCTCGCCGCCCGCTGCCTCGCCGAGGCTTCCGGCTTATGACTTTTGGGCTCTGAGAAAAACTATCTCTCGAACGGCACGCTGCCTCGAGCCTCTCCAACGCGATGCGGGTCAGTCGGCGAGGCGTGACAAGAAAGCTCGTCGCCGAAAGAAAATGCATGGCGTGGTCCTATTCGCAAATGAATCAAGGGGGAAGCATTTCGGTGCGATCATTGATGGAACAAATGAATTCGGGATCCCATCGTAACTCCGCAGCTAAGCGTGCTTGGGCGAGTAGTACTAGATGGTGACCGAAGTCCTCGATGGGTGACCTGAAGTCCTCGTGTTGCACCCTTTTTTTTCGGACGAAATCTTTTCCCCACTCCTCCTCTTCTCTTTCCTCGCCGCCCGTTCCGCTCGTCTCGTCGAGGGCTTCCGGTTTGCGATGGCTCGAGAAAAACTATCTCTCGAACGGCACGCCGCCTCGAGAGCCCTCCAACGCGATGCGGGGTCGGGTCGGCGAGGCGTGACTAAGAAAGCTCGTCGCCGAGAAAGAAAATGCATGGCGGTGGTCCTATTGCCGCAAATGAATTGAAGGGGAAGCATTTCGGTGCGATCATAACGTAACTCCGCAGCTAAGCTGCTTGGGCGAGAGTAGTACTATGATGGGTGACCCCCTGGGAAGTCCTCGTGTTGCGATTGGACGAGAGTAGTACTAGGATGGGTGACCCCCTCGGAAGTCCTCGTGTTGCACCCTTTTGGTTTTCTGACGAAATCTTTTCCCCACTCCCCTCCCCCTTCTCTTTCATACCGCCAGTTCCGCTCGTCTCGCCGAGGGCTTCCGGTTTATGCGACTTTTGGGCTCCTGAGAAAAACTATCTCCTAACGGCACGCCGCCCTCGAGCCTCCAACGCGATGCGGGTCAGTCGAAAGGCGTGACTAAGAAAGCTCGTCCGAGAAAGAAAATGCATGGCGGTGGTCCTATTACCGGATCCCACGAACTCCGCAGCTTAAGCGTGCTTGGGCAGAGTAGTACTATAGGATGGGTGACCGGAAGTCCTCGCCACTCCTCCTTCTCTTTCCTCGCCGCCCGCTGCCTCGCCGAGGCTTCCGGCTTATGACTTTGGGCTCCTGAGAAAACTATCTCCCGAACGGCACGCCGCCCTCGAGCCTCCAACGCGATGCGGGTCGTCGGCGAGGCGTGACTAAGAAAGCTCGAGCCGAGAAAGAAAATGCATGGCGGTGGTCCTATTGCTGGAAGCGAGCTTGGGCGAGAGTAGTACTAGGATGGGTGACCTGGGAAGTCCTCGTGTTGCACCCTTTTGGTTTTGGACGAAATCTTTTCCCCACTCCTCCTTCTCTTTCTCGCGCTGCGCTGCCTCGCCGAGGGCTTCCGGCTTATGACTTTTGGGCTCCTGAGAAAACTATCTCTCGAACGGCACGCCGCCCTCGAGCCTCCAACGCGATGCGGGTCAGTCGGCGAGGCGTGACTAAGAAAGCTCGTGCCGAGAAAGAAAATGCATGGCGGTGGTCCTAGCGATCATACCAAAGACTAATGCACCGACAAATGAATTGAAGGGGAAGCATTTCGGTGCGATCATGTGTTGCACCCTTTTGGTTTTCGACGTAAATCTTTTCCCCGATCCCATCGTAACTCCGCAGCTTAAGCGTGCTTTGGGCGAGAGTAGTACTAGGATGGGTGACCTGGAAGTCCTCGCCGCCCTCGAGCCTTTTGGTTTTCGGACAAATCTTTTCCCACTCCTCCTTCTCTTTCCTCGCCGCTCCCGCTGCCTCGTCCGAGGGCTTCCGCTTATGCGACTTTTGGGCTCGAGAAAAACTATCTCTCGAACGGCACGCCGCCCTCGAGCCCTCCAACGCGATGGGGTCGTCGGGCGAGGCGTGACTAAGAAAGCTCGTCACTGAGAAAGAAAATGCATGGCGGTGGTCCTATTGATGGAACACATGAATTCCGCAGTTAAGCGTGTTTGGGCGAGAGTAGTACTAGGATGGTGACCGAAGTCCTCGTGTTGCACCGACTAATGCACCGGATCCCAAAATCTTTTCCCCACTCCTCCCCTTCTTTTCCTCGCCGCCGCCCGCTGCCTCGCCGAGGGCTTCCGGTTTGCGACTTTTTGGGCTCGGAGAAAAACTATCTCCGAACGGCACGCCGCCCTCGAGTCTCCAACGCGATGCGGGTCGTCGGGCGAGGCGAGACTAAGGAAGCTCGGTGCTGAGAAAGCAACGCATGGCGGTGGTCCTACTGATGGAACAAATGATTTGAAAGAGGGAAGCATTTCTGTTGAGATCATACCAGAACTAATGCACGATCCCATCAACTCCGCAGCTAAGCGTGCTTGGGCGAGAGTAGTACTAGGATGGGTGACCCCCCGGGAAGTCCTCGTGTTGCACCCCTTTTTGGTTTTTGGACGAAATCTTTTTCCCCGCTCCCTTCCCCCTACTCTTTCGGCCATGACTTTTTGGGCTCGCGGAAAACACTATCTCTTGAACGGGCACGCCCGGCCCTAGACAGCCCTCCAACGCGATGCGGGGTCCGGTCGGCGAGGCGGGACTAAGGAAGCTCGGTGCTGAGAAAGCAACGCATGGCGGTGGTCCTACTCAGGACTAATGCACCGGATCCCATCGGAACTCCGCAGTTAGCGTGCTTGGGCGCGAGTAGTACTAGGATGGGTGACCCCCCGGGAAGTCCTCGTGTTGCACCCTTTGGTTTTCGACGAATCTTGTTGCACCCTCTTCTCTTTCCTCGCCGCCGCTCCGCTGCCTCGCCGAGGCTTCCGGCTATGACTTTTGGGCTCTGAGAAAAACTATCTCTCGAACGGGCACGCCCGGCCCTCGAGGGCCACGCGATGCGGGGTCCAGTCGGCGAGGCGTGACTAAGAAAGCTCGTCGGAAAGAAAATGCATGGCGGTGGTCCTATTCGCCGGAAGCATTTCGGTGCGATCATACCAAAGACTAATGGAACAAATGAACGGGGAAGCATTTCGGTGCGATCATACCACTCCGCAGCTTGCCGTGCTTGGGCGAGAGTAGTCCTAGGATGGGTGACCTGCAAGGGGTCATGGAGAAATCTTTTTTCCCCACTCCTCCCCTTCTCTTTCCTCGCCGCCTCCGCTGCCTCGCCGAGGGCTTCCGGCTTATGACTTTTGGGCCTCGAGAAAAACTATCTCCTCGAACGGGCACGCCGCCCTCGAGCTCCAACGCGATGCGCGGGTCGTCGGTCAAGAGGCGTGACTAAGAAAGCTCGTCGATGAGAAAGAAAATGCATGGCGGTGGTCCTATAAGGACTAATGCACCGGATCCCATGGGAAGCATTGGTGCGCGATCATACCAAAAGATCCCATCAACTCCGCAGCTTAAGCGTGCTTGGGCGAGAGTAGTACTAGGATGGGTGACTGGAAGTCCTCGTGTTGCACCCTTTTTGGTTTCGGACGAAATCTTTTCCCCACTCCTCCTCTTCTCTTTCCTCTTCCTCCTCTCCGCTCGTCTCGCCGAGGGCTTCCGGTTTATGACTTTTGGGCTCTGAGAAAACTATCTCCGAACGGCACGCCGCCCTCGAGCCCTCCAACGCGACGCGGGGTCCGGTCGGCGAGGTGATCAAGAAAGCTCGTCGCCGAGAAAGAAAATGCATGGCGGTGGTCCTATTGATGGATCCGATGGAACAAATGAATTGAAGGGGGAAGCATTTCGGGTGCGCCAGCCCTAATGCACCGGATCCCATCAAAACTCCAGTTAAGCGTGCTTGGGCGAGAGTAGTACTAGGATGGGTGACCTGGAAGTCCTCGTGTTGCACCCTTTTTTTTCGGACGAAATCTTTTCCCCACTCCTCCTTCTCTTCTCTCGCCGCCGCCCGCTGCCTCGCCGAGGGCTTCCGCTTATGACTTTTGGGCTCGAGAAAACTATCTCTCGAACGGCACGCCGCCCTCGAGTCTCCAACGCGATGCGGGTCAGTCGGCGAGGCGTGACTAAGAAAGCTCGTCCGAGAAAGAAAATGCATGGCGGTGGTCCTAGTGATGGAAGGAACAAATGAATTGAAGGGGGAAGCATTTCGGTGCGATCATGAAGGATCCCATCGTAACTCCGCAGCTTAAGCGTGCTTGGGCGAGTAGTACTCCAAAGACTAATGCACCGGATCCCATCGGACTTTTTGGTTTTCTGACGAAATCTTTTCCCCACTCCCCTCCCCCTTCTCCTCGCCAGTTCCGCTCGTCTCGCCGAGGGCTTCCGGTTTATGCTTTTTGGGCTCGAGAAAAACTATCTCTCGAACGGCACGCTGCCCTCGAGAGCCTCTCCAACGCGATGCGGGTCAGTCGGCGAGGCGTGACTAAGAAAGCTCGTCGCCGAGAAAGAAAATGCATGGCGGTGGTCCTATTGATGGGATGGGTGACCGGGAAATGAATCAAGGGGGAAGCATTTCGGTGCGATCATACCAAAGACTAATGCTTTTCCCGATCCCATCGTAACTCCGCAGCTTGCGTGCTTGGGCGAGAGTAGTACTAGGATGGTTGCCCGGGAAGTCCTCGTGTTGCACCCCTTTTGGTTTTGACGAAATCTTTTCCCCACTCCTCCCCTTCTCTTTCCTCGCCGCCCGCTGCCTCGCCGAGGGCTTCCGATGCGACTTTTTGGGCTCCGAGAAAAACTATCTCTCGAACGGCACGCCGCCCTCGAGAGCCTCCAACGCGATGCGGGGTCAGTTCGGCGAGGCGTGACTCAAGAAAGCTCGCCGAGAAAGAAAATGCATGGCGGTGGTCCTATTTGATGGAACAAATGAATTGAAGGGGGAAGCATTTCGGGCGATCATACCAAAGACTAATGCACCGGATCCCATCGGAACTCGCAGTTAAGCGTGTTTGGGCGATAGTAGTACTCGGTTGGGTGACCCCCTGGTAAGTCCTCGTGTGGCACCCCTTTTTGGTTTTCTGACGAAATCTTTTCCCCACTCCTCCCCTTCTCTTTCCTCGCCGCTCCGCTGCCTCGCCGAGGGCTTCCGCTTATGACTTTTGGGCTCCTGAGAAAACTATCTCTCGAACGGCACGCCGCCCTCGAGCCTCCAACGCGATGCGGGTCAGTCGGCGAGGCGTGACTAAGAAAGCTCGTCGCCGAAAGAAAATGCATGGCGGTGGTCCTATCGCCCAAATGAATTGAAGCGGGGGAAGCATTTCGGTGCGATCATATGATGGAACAAATGAATTGGGTCGTAACTCCGCAGCTTAAGCGTTTGGGCGAGAGTACTAGGATGGGTGACCGGGAAGTCCTCTCGCCGTGTTGCACCCCTTTTGGTTTTGACGAAATCTTTTCCCCACTCCTCCCTTCTCTTCTCGCCGCCGCCCGCTGCCTCGCCGAGGGCTTCCGGCTTATGACTTTTGGGCTCGAGAAAACTATCTCTCGAACGGCACGCTGCCCTCGAGCCCTCCAACGCGATGCGGGTCAGTCGGCGAGGCGTGACTAAGAAAGCTCTGCCGAGAAAGAAAATGCATGGCGGTGGTCCTATTGTTGGAACAAATGAATTGAAGGGGGGGAAGCATTTCGGTGCGATCATGACTAATGCACGGGATCCCATCAGAACTCTGTAGTTAAGCGTGCTTGGGTGAGAGTAGTACTAAGATGGGTGACCTCCTGGGAAGTCCTCATGTCGCACCCTTTTGGTTTTCTGACGAAATCTTTTCCCCACTCCTCCCCTTCTCTTCCTCGCCGCCCTCCGCTGCCTCGCCGAGGGCTTCCGCTTATGACTTTGGGCTCTGAGAAAACTATCTCCCCGAACGGCACGCCGCCTCGAGAGCCTCCAACGCGATGCGGGTCGTCGGCGAGGCGTGATCGCCGAACAAATGAATTGGGGGGAAGCATTTCGGTGTGCGATCATACCAAAGTGATGGAACAAATGAATTGGGATCCCATCGTAACTCCGCAGTTAAGCGTGCTTGGGAGAGAGTAGTACTAGGATGGGTGACCTCGAAGTCCTCGTGTTGCACCCTTTTTTGGTTTTTAAAAGGGGCGCCGCTCCTCCTCTTCTCTTTCCTCGCCGCCTGGCTCGCTGCCTCGCCGAGGGCTTCCGGCTTATGACTTTTGGGCTCGAGAAAACTATCTCGAACGGGCACGCCGCCCTCGAGAGCCTCCAACGCGATGCGCGGGTCAGTCGGCGAGGCGTGACTAAGAAAGCTCGTCCGAGAAAGAAAATGCATGGCGGTGGTCCTATTGTCAAATGAATTGAAGTGGGAAGCATTTCGGTGCGATCATACCAAAGACTAAGATGGAACTCCGCAGCTTAAGCGTGCTTGGGCGAGTAGTACTAAAGACTAATGCACCGGATCCCATCGGAACTCCCCTTTTTGGTTTTCTGACGAAATCTTCGCCGCACTCCTCCCTTCTTCTCCTCGCCGCGCCCGCTGCCTCGCCGAGGGCTTCCGCTTATGACTTTTTGGGCTCTGAGAAAAAACTATCTCTTGAACGGGCCCGCCCGCGAGAGCTCCAACGCGATGCGGGTCGTCGGCGAGGCGTGACTAAGAAAGCTCGTCGCCGAGAAAGAAAATGCATGGCGGTGGTCCTAGTGCCTATCGAGCCCTCCAACGCGATGCGGGTTGTCGGCGAGGCGTGACTAAGAAAGCTCGTCGGAAAGAAAATGCATGGCGGTCGTCCTAATGGAACAAATGAATTGAAGGGGGAAGCATTTCGGGTGCGATCATACCAGCACTAATCTTAAGTATTACCTAGTGGAGAGTAGTACTAGGATGGGTGACCCCCTGCGAAGTCCTCGTGTTGCACCCTTTTTTGGTTTTTAAACTATCTCCCCTCCCCCTTCTCTTTCCTCGCCGCCCGCTGCCTCGCCGAGGGCTTCCGCTTATGACTTTTGGGCTCGAAAACTATCTCCTGAACGGCACGCCGCCTCGAGCCTCCAACGCGACGCGGGTCAGTCGGCGAGCGTGACTAAGAAAGCTCGTCGATGAGAAAGAAAATGCATGGCGGTGGTCCTATTGATGGAACAAATGAATTGAAGGGGGAAGCATTTCGGGTGCGATCATACCACCAGCACTAATGCACCGGATCCCATCGGAACTCCGTAGTTAAGCGTGCTCAGGCTAGAGTAGTACTGGGATGGGTGACCTCCATGGGTGACCCCCTGCGAAGTCCTCGTGTTGCACCCTTTTGGTTTTGACTAAATCTTTTCCCCACTCCTCCTTCTCTGCTTGAACCAAAGACGAGATGCTTAGTGATGGAATCGAGATGCAAAGGTTGCGGGAGATAATGCGGAGTTGATCCTCTCGCTTGGGCACTCAATCATTAGAGCGGCTTTGGCTCTCCACCTATCTCCCCTCCCCCTTCTCTTTCCTCGCCGCCCGTTCCGCTCGTCTCGTGGCTTCCATCTTCGTGGATTCCAACTCCCAAGTAGTCATCTTGAGCCGAGTTGTAATTGTATTGAGCGATGAAGGCAGCCCTTATGTCTTCCCAAGTACCTCTTTTGGCAATGTCGAGCCACAGAAACCAATGGAAGGCAGGCCCAGAGAGAGTTTGACTTTCTACTTTGAGTAGCTTCATGGCGGCATGGTAGCCGTAGATATGAGTTTTGGGATCACCGCTCCCATCAAACTTGACCAAGTCAGGCATCTTGAATTTGTCTGGCAGCTTAGCATTAGGATACAGGCAGAGACGATCCAAGTCAATTCCCCCTGCTCTGATCTTTTCGGATTTTGTGACAGCCTCTTCCAGCTTTGCCATCTTGGCCATAAGAGCTACCATATTAGGATTTAAAACAGGCCTACCACCTGCCGGATCTAGGTTTGCAACAGGTGCGCGAACCTCCCTAGGGTTGGGCTGAACAATGAGACGCCCCTCGTGATTTGGATCTGGGACCATGACAGGCTACTCCTGGTCGTCCTCATCGTCCTCGCCTTCCTCTTCGAGTGAAGGTGGAAGACGAGTGTTGATAAGGTCATTGAGACGGGTGATGTTAGCATCGGTCTGGATGGCCCTTTGCTGAATGACAGTAATGCTAGTCTGAAGGTTCATGAGTATTTCTTCCAGAGAAAGGGGTTGAACCTCTGGTTGACTTGACATGGTAGGTGGTTCAGAAGTGCTCGATGCAGAAGATGGGGATGCTGGCTGTCCGTCTTGTCGGGTCGATTGTGAGCCTGACTATAGAGCGGCCAGCAGAGTGCGCGGAGAGTCTTCCGTGGTGGCTGACTGTGATTCAAGCAGGACAAGTCTTTGAACCGGATTCAGATGCAGAAGTTCCCAAGTAGGTTTGGCTCTTCCTTTTGGTACTATCTTGCTTGGTGCAATGGCTTAGAACTAGATTGCAAAGTAATTGAAAGCTCAGTGGCACTCCTATATAAGTTCATTTGCAAGAAAAATGCAATGTACATGACATCGTCGTTGGTGTCAACCCTAGACCCTAGAACTACTTTGAACTTGAAACAACACAGTATTGATGGCGTGACACCTTAACCGGGGTGGCGTCAGTGACATCACGCTTTAGCCGAGGTGGTTGTAAGTGACGAGGCACTTGTAACCTGAATGATACCAGTGTCACGGCATTAATACTTTGTGGTTCTCCATTTTCGGTTGACTCCTCAATCAGGCATGAACCAAGGACTTAATAAGGTTTGATTTCCCAAAGTTTCGCTGATCTAAGGACTTTAAGAATTAACAACGTGCACCATCGAGATGCACGACTTTTCATTGGGGTCTAGCAGCGTCCAAATTAGCATAAGACAGACAAGCGAGAGACAACCTGTCGCCGCCTAAACATGCTCCTATGCAAAACGACATGTATGTATTTACACCCAGAGACGAGTTTGCCTCATGAATTTCAGATGTTGTCAGAATCCTTAGTTCTTTTCGGCGATGTGTCCTCGAGTAGATCGACAGATCCTAAAAGAAGACTAATGCACCGGATCCCATCGGAACACTAAATCTTCGACTAGTCCCTTTGAAGATCCAACTTTGAATTTGAAACAACTCGCATTGATGACACGGCACCTTAATTGATGGAACAAATGAATTGAAGGGGGAAGCATTTCGGGTGCGATCATACCAGCACTAATGCACCGGATCCCATACTTTGTTGTTTCTTATTGTCGGTTGAATCCTCAATTAGGCTTGAGCCGGGGATTCAGCAAATTTTGATTTCTCAAAACGCCTTAGATAAGTAAGACAAACTTAATGTAAAGAACCACCTTAAGCATGCTCCTATGCAAAACAAAGTAATGTACAAAGCATGCGATAGGGAAAGCAGTAACACATCGTCCAACCTTCGGCAGCGCGAAGCTCACCGCTTTGACAGACTTTAGGAATTGTTCACAAACGAATTAAACTCTAAGTATGAATTGATTTTCTGCACTTACAGGCAGCATGCCCTTGGAAAAGATAGGGATTTCATTCCCCATCTTGCCAAAGCGCCCGAAAATCGAGGAGCGCGAGCGGAGATGGCAAGCGCCAAATACAGAGTCGCCACTTGGCTCAAGGTCCGACACCCAAGGAATCATATTTCGAAGCACCTGCCGCGGCTTGATTTGAAAAAGTGAAGGAACCAAATCCGTCATAACCATATCTGGGTTCAGAAGCCAATTACGAAAGAGGAAGGGTTTTAAGGCACCCCTCTCGCCCAACTGAGATCGGTCTCTACTTAGGCGTTTTTGAAAACATTGCGATTCTTCTTTTATTAATCATGGAACAAATGAATGACCCCAGTGTTAAGGTGCGATCATACCAAAGACTAATGCACCGGATCCCATCGTAAGCCAATTAGGGCGGGGAATAGTTTAATCGGGATAAAATCTGTGACAATTTGCGTGATGTGATCGGTAGTACTAGGATGGTGACTGAAGTCCTCGTGTGACAATAAACGAGATGAAGCCCAATACTGTGATTAAACATCAAAACAGTGCTTTGTATGAATTTGACGTGAACAATGACCAACTTGCATGCATGGATCTCAGTAAAGTGACCATCGCGCGACATACCCATACCATCGCGCGAGTGTTCATGTTTAACCACAGATTGAATTTCATCCCCTTCTGGGCTCTGGAAGGACCAGTGCTCACCCAGGACAAACCAATCAATATATAGGCAGTTAATATACAGTTTAAAGGAAGTTTGAATGGGCTATAAAGCCACACAAATGATTAAAACACCTCATAAATAGTGTGGGGACAAAACAGATGCCAAGGCCTAATTACCAATGCAAAAATCCAGTAACATGCAAAATCAGTCACTGGAAATAGGCTGACCATCGCGCGACAGAGTGACACCCTAGCGCGATGGTGCACCCTGGCGCGCGATGGAGTGAGCCAACTTTCCATTGCTTGGTTTTGCATGTCCTGGGTTCTGGGACAAGACCAGAATGACCCCAGTGGTACTCCACAACAACAAAAATGTCAACCCTCCGTAGGCTTCCGTTAATGTTTTGGACGGAAATTGATCATGTGCCCAGCACATGACCAATTTTAAGGGGTATATTTGTCCATTCACGTCTCTTTCTTCTAGCCATTGTTCCCCTCTAATCTACCAAAATCCACGTCTCTTTCTTCTAGCCATTGTTCCCCTCTAATCTACCAAAATCCCCGTCTCTCCCTCATCTCCCATGTCACCACCACCAAAAACTCAAATAACCACAAGCCACCAGCTATCATCACCACAAACCACCAAAAACCATCAGCCACTACACTAACCACCAAAAATCACCTTAAATAACCACAAACCGCCACCAGTCACCACTCCCACCACAATCACTGCAAACCACCACCATCTGTTTCACCACCACCAACAGTCAACACCACCAATCACGGCCAGCATAAACCCGATTCAAACCCCCAAACACTCCGATTTCAAATTTCAGAACCCGAATGTCAGAAACCCCTAAATTCGAAATTAAAACCCTAACCTCAAACCCCCAATTCGGACACCCCAATTTCGGATTTCAATCCCCTAATTTGGAATCCCCAATTTCGGAATTCAAATCCCAATTCAAGTCGTATGAGAACCAAGCCCTTACCTCAATCGTGTCGTGTCATCCACAACCGCAACCACTACTCGTCGCCATCATAAACCCCCACCTCCGCTGCCGTACATCAGTCACGAAGAAGAGAGGGGATTTCGGATTCCTCAAAAACCCTAGAATCGCGCAGAAAATCCGAATAAGAGGGAGATTGATGGGTGAAATTTATTTGAGAGAGGAGAATCTGAGGAGAGAGAGAGAGATCGGAGATCGGAGAGTGGGTTTTCTTCTTCGTTTGGTGGTGGCTTGTGGGAGATGAGAGAGGAGATGGTGGCCTGTGGGAGATGGGAGAGGAGAGAGACGGAATTTTCAGAAATGATAGGGGAACAATGGTTGGAAGAAAAAGACATGAATGGACAAATATACCCCTTAAAATTGGTCATGTGCTGGGCACATGATCAATTTCCGTCCAAAACATTAACGGAAGCCTACGGAGGGTTGACATTGGAACAAATTCGAAACTAGAAGTATTACCCAAAAGCAATAAAATGGTTATTTACATGCTTAACAGTGATCTATATGGAACATAAAGCATAAAACAATAGGACACCAATCCCCACGTGGACCATCGCGCGCAACAAGTGACTGTCGCGCGAGTGTATGGGTCCATCGCGCATTGGTTCTTACTATGACGGTTTTTGAAACCGATCCCATCGTAACTGCTAGCTTTAGGCCGATCGATATTGATTACCACTTTGCCTCGCCAAATTTCTCAGGGATCGAACAAAAAATAGTAGGTTTCTCTTATGAACAAAGGGGGGGGTACTTATAGGAGGAGAGGGGGAGGTAGATCTGGTGCAAAGAGACGTGCTGGCTAAGGGTTACTTCGTGGCTAAGTTTTCCCAGCTGATAAAGGTGATGGGGACAATTTTTGACCATCGCGCGATGGAGTGGGTCTGTCGCGCGATGGTGCCCCCTGGTGCGCGATGGTTGACCATCGCGCGATGGAGTCAGACCTTCGTGCGACGGTGCGCCTTGGCGCGCAACGATTGTGCCCTGGCGCGCAATGGTCGCGCCCTGGCTCAGGTCAGAAGGGTTTTTGGGTTTTTGAAGTGGATTAGGTTTATGTTAGGTTCAAGGGTTTTTCAAACACTCAAAGCTCAACACTTGACATTCCTAGGGTGTTCTTGATCCGTTTCATCATC